CTTCACAGGCTGTTCACATGCAGATTGTGTTGCTATTGAATCTATTTCTTATTCAGATTTACTAAATGAAAGTTATGCTGAGAGTGTGGGTTTCGAAAAAAAAAATAAAAAATGCTGTTAACTAATTCTGTATAGTTCCCATCCTCACGTCTCAAGCTGCTTCGCATATGTTATTGTTTCGCCTTCCCCAGCTGACTGCATGCCTCTCAGCTGTAACAGCTCCCAGTCCCTCCTTGAGCCCGCGTTAGGAGGAGGCGTGCTCCAAGTCTCTCTTTGGGGCTGCAGCTTTTCTCATGAACCAGTGGTAGTTCAAGGAAATGGGAATAATAAGTAGGAAGTGGGAGTTTTGGACAAAACTGGGTGTCTTCCCGTCTAGTAAGAGCAAGTTTCTGCCAGTTGCTGTTCCTAGAAGACTCAGGTACGGTGCTACTGAAGAGCTGAGAGCAGGTTATGCCCAGCTGTGTTCCTCTTGGTAGTGTTCATGGTGGCTTTTGCATAGTGGTTTTTTTTTTGTTTTTTTTTTTTTTTCTCGTCCCCAGCATAATTATTACATGTTTTTTGATCTGCATTGAACACCTGTAGTAAATACTGGTGGAAGGCAGGCAGGCTCTGTGTCAGGTGGGCTGGGAGCAGGTCAGAGGCACCACGTCAGCTTGGTGGACTGAGCCTGCCTTCTGTCATGGTCGTGTGTTTGGGTGTTGACCTTTTGCAATCGCTGCTTCCACTGCCTCGTTCAGCAGGCCCTTTCCCTTTGTCGGGGGGTGTCCCTCCACTTCTGTCCCTCTTCCCTTCTTCTGAGCGAGGGCGTTGAGGCTGGGTCTCTCCTTGCCCAGGGCTGCTTCTGTTTCATCTATTGTCTTGGCTCGTTGCGGGACGTGGGCCACGGCTTGCTTTGTTTGCCCAAGTCTGCATGAATCGAGTGGTGGCCTGCTATGAGTTTTAGACATTCTTGTGGTGTAAAGGAGTATGTGGGAACAAACTTCATGGATCTGTAGTCAGAGAATTAGCTAAATAGTTCTTATTTAACTCTGCTTTGTGCTCAGTTCCTGAAGTCCTCTGCTATACTTCTATGCAGAGTCCTTATGCAAAAGCTGTTCAGAAATAGATTGATTCAACTGCTCAGTCTGAGTGGGGAGTGGTCTAGATTCATGTGAGAGCTGAGATCAGAAACCTGCTTGCTTCTATTTAAAGTGCTTTTTTTTTTTTTTTTTTAATTAAAATAAAAACAGGAGCAACAATACCCAAAGATGTTCCAAAATTTCTTCCAAAACATTTTTCAGTCTTGTATGTTTCAGAGCAGATTAGCAGAAATGTGGAGCTGCTTCAGCAGTTGTGGAGATAGAAATAAAAAAGTAAAAATAAAAATAATAAAAAAAAGCTTAAATACAACAGCTCAAGAGGGGAAAATAAAAGAGGCTGAAGAGTGTTTTCTAGACGCACACTATCTGTGTGGCTGGGATAACTTCTAGATTGGGGAAATACTACAAGTCTGTTCATTTTATGTATGGACAAGCGGTGATACACCAGAGTGCTGTATATCACGTGTATACGCTGAGTGTAGAAATGCCTTGTTCCTGGGAAGCCTCCATCTCTGGAGTGGAGGCAGCAGCTATTTTTAGTGGTGTGCTGCGACATTACGCAGGAGAGCACAGGGTGATGCCCTTTCCCAGCTCACTTCGTAGATGAATTTCCTAATTTACCGAGGAAGGGTCAGATGACAAAGCAATACCAGCAGGTGAGCATGGGCACAGCTTCATCCTTTTCTTTTTTTGAAAGAAGCTAGTAGAAAGGCTGTGCTGCAGAACAGTTGAAAATAGATAAATAAAACACACACACACACTTAGCAGATTTAGCTGATTCTCAGACTAGGTACTGTCCTCTGTGTGCACAAGGCCTGTCATTTCACGTGAGGGCAGAATATCAATCCCATGTGTTTCTGACACAAACAGTCGATCCGAGGTGAAATTCTGATGTGAAATCTCACAATAAAAGTTTGCAGCACTGCTGTGGGTGTATGGGGACTTTGGTGAGCCTTGCCAGGTTGCGAGAGTTTCTAAGTCAACATTTTGCTTGGGTGATGATAATAGGACCATAACATTTACTCTTCTGTTGACAGCTGCTCTGCTGATTTCCCTCTGCAAATGACTTTGGGTTTTTGCAAGTATAACTGGTGAAGAGCCATGTGAGTGCGACAGAACAGCCTTTTACTGCAGTAAATGGAAAAAGCGAAATGCAAACACAGTCAAAATCTTGCCTCTTGTATCCTAATTGCTCGCTTTCCAAAGCGGTGTGGTTGATGTTTGGGGGGGTTATTTTGTGCTGTCTCTTTTCCTGGTGTGCATTTGTGTATTTCTGCCCCGCCTCAGGCTAGACCTGTTTTAACATAAAGGTTATTGTGTGCTGTCGTTGGGGTTGGTAACGCATAAAATTCGGTGAGGTAGCTACTAAAGGATGCTATTTTGGCAGTCATCAGAGAATATGTGCAAAATGTAGGACTGTCTAAATCAGCAAGTGCACACGCGGTCCGCGTTTTTCTGCTTAGCAGAAGTGGTGGAGTTATTCTAACAGCAAAGCAGAATTGCAGGTTACTCTGTTCTGATGACTTTCTTCAGGAACACTGAAATATTCACATAAAATTGTGATTGAAAGCGACAGATTTCAATGCAGTTTAAAGACCTGTGAGAATCCCACCTGCATGCCTTTAGAAAGCTTGCAAGAATGTTTTAGTAACTCATCCTGCTCCATTTGTAATGATGCACAGTGCTGGTACTGGGAGGGGAGATGATGTCTCATTGTGTGTGTTGTGCGCAGACACCTTCAGCTGCAATCGCAATATGAATACGAAAATGCATTTAAAATCATTTGGTCATGTTTTGAGCTCTGGAACCTGAGTAAAGGAAGATGGAAATGGGTCTGAAATCCATTTGGGACTGTGACTTGGTTTATGAACCTGTCACCAAAGATCTTTAAAGCCGTATGTAGTTTAACGTACGACCAGCATAATGGTACCAGTAATGTTTTTCTTTAGTGTAAATTAAGCAAATGCTCAGCCTTCAGACATCCGCGATAATTTCTCCTGTTGTTTACAAGCGACTCCCATTGAGGCCATCAAAGAAAAACGTATGGGCTTATTGATATCATGTCAGCTTCTCCAAGTGCTTCAAGCTGTGCCTGTTCCAGAACTGATGGGTATTTGACATGTCCTCTGCAGCACCGAGAAAGCAAAATATCCTTAGATGTCAAAAACTGTTCCTAGGTGGGAGCCTCACAGCCAGAAGGATTAAGCTGTCCCCTGGCCCTCAGCCATCAGTTACCCCCCTGCCCTATGCTCTTCTTCTCAGGTATGGTGACTCAGATTTTGCTTTCTCCAAAAGGAATTTCCAGCTTTCGGTGCTCCTTGTTCTCTTATGCAAACATAAGAGCACCTTCACCTTGAAGGCAAGGTGAAGAAAGGAAAGCCAGCAGAGCTTGGATTCACCATTGCTCAATTCAGCAGTGCCTGTCTGAGTGTGTTGAGTTTCTCAGTGAGTTACTGATGGATGTTTGTTTTGTTGCAGTTTCCAAATTCTGAGCTTAACTTTGGTTTTGCTTTCACAAAGGAGAGTTTTGCTGCTGAAGCCTTGGGGGCTGTTGTTGTTTAAGACTGGTCTGAGACGGGAATCAGTTTAATGAAACCCATACCGATATAGATAACGGATAATGTCCCAGGGCTTTAATTACTGAGCTCTAGAGATCTTTTCTCGGTGTCACTGACCATATATTTTTTAAAAAAGGAGAAGATTCATGCTCTGTTTTTATTTGCACAGGTATTCTGGTGTCAGAGCTGCTGCTCCATGCAACGTAGGACCTCTGTGTAGTTGCTTCAAACACCCAAAACCAAACTGGTCTGCCAGGGGTGCGTGTACCATGGCACAGACAATGCAAACTGGATCAAAGAGCAGCTGTGGCTCAACCACAGAGCCAAGGTCACGTCAGCAGGTGTCAACCACCTGTTTTAGTCGGGCTGAGTCTGGCACAAGAACACGGGGTGGGCTTGGCAGACATTTTGGCAGCGTTTTGGGCCAGAGGGGCCCCATCGTGTAGTGTGTCTGGCAGCCCGGTCATGCAGGGGTGAGCCTGCTTAGCCTGCTGGACTGGGCATTCAATTTTTTTCATTGTAGAGCATCTGCAGTGCACCTTCCTTGGGGCTGGCCCTTTAAAACAGTCAGACCTGGCTTAGCTGGAGCTTTTAAGCGAAGGTCTGGCAAGTGTCTGCTGCTTCTCCTCTTCTTTTACCTCGTGAGAATTTCACTCTGTTTCAGCACGGTCCCTGCATCTCTTCACAACACCACCAGAGAACAAAGCTTAGCCTCTGATTTTCCAAAATGCCAGCTTCCATCTTCACTCCTCTGCTGTGACTCGAGTCTGCTCTGCAAGGACAGTGTCTGGGGCTAGGAAAATAGTCTGGCTTGTCCTATCTTCAACGTGTTCATCCCTGAAATAGCCCTGTGGGTAGGGAACTGCTACATCTCTAGCACAGAGCTGGGCAGCTAATCACGTAGGAAGTCTGTGGCAGAGACAGGACTCAAACCTGCATTTCTCCAGGGCTAAGCTGGCCCCTTGCATGGAGGTGGCTTTTGTGTCTTTGCCTGTTGTTCTTGCTGAAACTGCCATTTGGCCACTGAGGGAGGGGGAAACACTCACTTTTGGAAAGCCCTGCTCATAGCCCTCCTCTGAACATCCACTTCAAAGTGTTTGTTTTTTTTTCTTACTTAGTGTGTCTCCCTCCTGCCTGTTCAGAGACAACACTAATACTAACACCTCTCATCAGACGTTCATCTGTAGGTTGTTTTTTTTGCCAGCTGAAGCACGAGTAGGTTGCACAGATCTGGTCAGCAAAGAAGTGTTCCCTTCAACTGCTGCCCAGGCTCTGGTCTGGCTGTTAGCAGCTGGCTGTTGGGGTTGTGTTTTTGTTAAGCAGAGATCCTATTTATAGGTGGCAGAACACATGCACGTCCTTGTCTGTGCTGCTGCAGATCCTGGTTAATCTCCCCTGCTACCAAAGCCTAGCCTACCAGCCAGCATTCTGTGTCTTAAAATTAGCGTGGGAGAGCCGTAGAGGGTTTTTTCTTCCTCCCCCTCTTCCCATCACTATCTTGACGCTTTGGAGCAGGCTGATAACGCAGAGACAGGCTGCTTGTCTAAAAGCTGGGGGCAAATCTTTCCCTCCCGGCCAGCCCCTTCCTGGTTACGGAGGAAGCGATCTGTGACGGTGTCAGGAAATGTCATTAGTTAGCGAGCGCTCCTGTGTCAAAGGATCCCATCTGCAGCGAGGTATTTAATGAGCCTGCGCTACACCCCGTGCTTTACCCAGAGGAGGGCAGAGTTGGATTTTGTTTGCTTCTTGAAAACGAGATGGCAGGCGAGCTATCCGTGCTGACAGGAGCCTGGCAGCTGCCTCATTCCTGCTCAGGGGCTGGGGGGGAGAAGAGGGTGCTGGTTAACACCCCGCAGAGGAAAACCTATCTGTGTCTGCATGCTTGGTGCTGCTGGTGGGATGGGGAGACGACCCAGTGCCTTCCCAGTGCCTCCAGACCCCCGAGGAGCCCGTCTGTGGCACTGTGCTCTTTAGAGGCGCTGCTTGCTCCAGTCACTCGCGGCGCTGCTCGTGCCTAAAATGAAAGCAGTGATCCTAGCACAGCGCAGAATGAAGGTCTTAATTGCAGAAAGGTAAAAAGAAATGATTGCAGCACAGTTCTAGATGATGCTTAGCAGCAGGTTTGTCTTCTTAACTACTTCAGTGGCTCTGATGTTTAAGGGATTATGAGGGGTTACGGAGGAGGCTAGGGAACCAGCTCCCCCCTTTCCGTACTTGTTTCCTGCAGGGTTCACACAGCTCTGGGCTGCTTTTCTCTCCTTTTGTTAGAGAAGGAATTTCCCCGATCTCGCACATCTTCACTGCTCCCTTCCTGACTCACGCTGCTGTGTTTCACATGTAGAGTGTCATCATCTCCCATTGCTCCTGGCCCTAGCAGCTCCTCTGCCTTTACAGTCACGCTGTAAGCCTTATTCAGCACTTTCTGCACTGCTGGTTACAATATTTTCAAGGAGTGTTGCAGCATTTTAGGAACCCCAGACTAAATGAAGCCAGTTGGTACAACTAAATCTTACTGAATGCCATACCTCTGGCCTTTGTAGATCTGTTTCTAGGCTGTAAAGACTGTCCTCTGATGCGTGGCCTGAAACTGGGACGAGTGTGGTGCTTCTCCCACCTGTGCACAAGAGTTTTCGGCCCACGGAAACCAAGTGTGAGTGTAAATATGTCTGGATCTTACCCTGTCGTGGCTAATATATGGGCACAGGCCCAACAGCTGAGCATCACTCCAGGCTACACTAGAAATGCAGCCATGGGCCCATAGGTGAAGGAGTTGTAATACAGGCTGGACACTTGGCATTTAGGGGGTTTTCATTCTGTTTAGCAGGTTATCTCTGTTACCTGGTCAGCATTTGCTAAGCAGGGAGCACTGGGCAGTTGCATCAGCCTGTCCTGGTCAGGTTCCAGCTTCTGCATGGACAAACTGTGGAAGCTGAAGGAGTTCTTCCGTGCAGCCGTGAGGTCTGTGTCCTTGCTGGGGGCAGGCCCCGAGGGATCTTTCTCTTGCTCAAGTGATAGAGCTTCATTTGTGGCCCTGACATAGCAGCTTGTGTCTTTGGGTATTCATTTTGAAGTACAAGAGAGAGATTCCTGCAGTGGGCAGAGATCTGCTTTTGTTTGTGAACAGGGTACAGATTAGCTGGGTAATTAGTAAATGTGCAAGTGTACTTTGCTTGCCCAACTCAAAATGATTTCATCCACAAATGCTTAGGATGACAAGAAAAAAAAAAGCTGGCAGTCTATCACTGTACTTTAGAAAAAGTGACTCATTACTGCATGGGTTGTCAGGGGTATTTCTGGGGGTGCTCTCCTCATCTCCTAGCTGAGCTGCATGTATGGGGCACGTGTGGGTGTCTATGTTCCCATGTGTTGTCCAGGATCTGCCCTCCCTCTGGGAAGAGAGGTTGTCTTTTCCAACAAGAAGACTCTGGCTCTATCTCCAGCAGCAGCCCACCCAGTCCCTGCACAGACCTTGTGTTATGGTGTTCCTGTGCTGAACAGGTAGGAGCTGAGATGGTACAGACATGAGCTTTTTAGGAAAGAAGCATTTCTAAACTGTTAGCCAAATCTGAGATAAATCAGTGTCTGCATGAAAGGCTGCTGTTTTCAGCCAAAAGATATTGCTAAGTAATGTGCCCTCATAGAGGGAAAGAGAGAGATGTTCTGTCTGGCTGTCCTGCCCCGAGAACAGTGCTGCTAGCTGCTCAGACAGAAAGCACATGGATGCTTTGGGAATACCTAGAGAGCAGCAATGCTTCGGTAAGAGGATAAAGGAAAGAAGTCTACTGCAGACAACGGTGTCCAGAGAAATCCAATTATTAACCAGTCCTAAATAGTCTGGCTGTTACAAACAGGACCTGAAGACAGGAGACAAACGGTTGGAGCAGAAGAATCACTCTTTTCGATATTCAAAGTGTTGTTTTCCTGAAGTTAGGAGACACTTTTGTGATGCACATGTCAGAAGTAACAACGATGGTTCACCTTGTTTGACGTTCATGGGTACGTCTGTTTTAATTCCGTCCCAGAAGCTGTGCTGTGTGGCTGGGAAAAGAAAAAGACAGTTCCTGTTCTGCATTGTGCAGAACAACCTGGTTTCTGTCCCTTCGTTCTCAAGCAGTCTTTTGTCACACAACTTGCTGCTACAGAGAGTTTGAAAATAGGCTCAATATGTGCCTGGGCTGGGAGATGTGTGTAAATTACAAATTGTTTGGGAAATGACACGTTATGGGTATTCTTAAGCAGGTTGAATCAAACTGTGGATTTTCAAGCTGTACACAGGCAGATTTTCAGTGCACCTTCCCTGGGAAGACCTTGAAAGCAGGAGATGAGGTGGGTTCGTTGCAAAGTGTTTAAGCAGTAAGCTGGGCAAAATGGGGGTTGCAGCTTCGGTGGTGGAAGCATGAAATGTAGCCTGAAATCTGTGGCCTCGCAGCCATAAGGTGGCTCCCCAGTGCTCCTGGCTCTCCTGCAGGGAGCAGCAGGCCCAAGCTCCTTTAGATCAGGTTACAGAGGGGTTGCGTGGGCAGCTTGGCTTGACATGGCTGCGACCATGAAAAAGCACTGTTTTAATGAGAAAAATTAAGCTAAAGCAGGAAGATGAGCTCGGGCCTGGACAGTGGCGCTGGCTGAAGAGGAGGCAGAAACTGCTTGGTGTCAGCAGCTCTCTCTGGAGGACCTGCATTTATTTTCTCTCTCCGTGCAGGGCTGGTAGCAAGTGACTTTTTGCTCAGCTAAGTGACCTCCAGTTTGGAGGTTGGGTTGGAATTTGGAAGTCACTAAAAGTTTTTTTTTTTTTTTGTATTGTTTTATTCCACTACCCTTGAATTTCTTGTAGGAAGCTGCTGTTGTGGAGCTGTCTCTAGAGCAAGCAGAGGACGTTCTGTGAGGCTTGTGCTTGTTCAGACAGCTAAACTAAATTGAGGGGAAGCTATGCTCTGACATATTGGGGTGATGATGATGTTCAAATCTTATCAGAAGGCTCACACCTCCACCCCTATGGGAGTCGATACAGAAAGCAGACAGGTAGCTAGACCACAGACTGGCGTGCAGTGTGACTTGGGGGTGGGAGAAGCACCTTTGGCACCAAACTGACCGAATTCCCTTCCCATGGGCCCACGCAGGCAGTTCGTGACCATGGGTTTTGAGGAAGAAACCACGCAGTGGTCGGTCTTGGTGTAGGGAGGAATTGCAGGCACGTGTGGGAGCGCTCCCAGAACAGAAGCGAGCACCCAGTGGCTTTCAAATCAGCCTGAGCTGAATTTCAATGATCAGAAGATATAAATTAAAACTGGAGCTGAAACTTCAGATCGAAATGTTCACTTTGACTGCCTGGTTTTAATTTAAATGACTTGAGTGTTCCTAGTGTTTTGATATTGTCAAAATCACTGTGCGGCAACAGGCCCCAGCAGACTATAGGAACACCTTGTAATATTGTGTCTATTAAATTAAAGCTTTATGGTAGCAGGATGTAGTTTGAAAAAACTCTTTGAGGAGTTTGGGAGCAGGGAGGAGGAAGTGGGCTGCTGGTTCCTGGGGGGAAAGGAAAGGCACGTAATGTCACAGGTGCCACTGGCTCACTGGGAAGCTGCTGCGTGTCGTAGTGTTTCCTTCCACGAGCCCTGGTGGAAGTGCAGAACAGCAGAGTCCTGCCGGTGCAATTTCTGCAATTTTCGAGAAGAAATTTCCAAGAAGGAATCGATGCCACCTTCCCAAATGGTGCGAATGAAGCCATCCCAGGCTCGCTTCCCTGCACCCCCCGGCAGCACCTTTCCCAGATAACAATCTCTGTGCTTCCTTTCAAGCCTCCCCACAGTGTGCCCAAGCGATGGGAGTGATGTCCTGAGCTCAGTTCCACCAAAAGGTAGCCCTTTTGTATTTTATTTTTAACTTTATTTTTCCATGTGCTTGCTTCTTCCCTCCATCCCCTTGGGTCAACACCCCTGCACATGCCCAAATGCTGGCTGGCACGCACGGGCTCCTGCCTAGAGGCTGTGCTGCATCTTGCTTGGACTCCAGGATCCAGCAGGAGGAAGAAACGACTGCACTCACTCACTAATTTGGCCTTTTGGGTGAAACAGGGGTTTGCTTTAGACTGGCTGTTGCACGCAGATAGCATTACCTGTTTGTGCAGCTGAAATGCTCGAGAGGCCAGCTCTCTAAATAGTAGAAATAAGGACCTGGATGATAATTGCCAATTTGACATCTATCCAAGCTATGAAGCACTGCTGAAGTGCAAGACCAGAGTGCCCTTCAGGAAGTCATTTAGTGCCTCACGTGGCTTTTAAGCAGGATCTGTACTTAAACTCTCCTGACAGATGAGTTTCTAACCTAAAGCCACGCAGTGAGAAGGATGCCAGGACCCCCTGAGTAGCCCATTCTACTGTTTCATTATACCTACTGTTGGAAAGGTTTTCCCCCTAATGTGTAACTAAATCCTATTTACTGCAAATCATGCTCAAGGTAGTGTGTGAATAAAGTCATGTAAATCTTTTGTTTAAAACAAAGACACACCCCCCCAAACCCCTTTAATTTCTTGGAAGTGTTATCATCCCTCCTTGCTTCTTTCTCCAACTACAACAATTGCTTTAATCTTTTCATTAATGGTTTTTAAACCCTGTCAGCATCATCGCCCATTTCTGTTTCCTCCAATTTCTCTACGTTTCATAGTTTGCTGCACCAAAGTGGATACAAGTACCACGCAGTTGCCAGCATGACATGTAGTGATTATATCTACTCTGAATGCCTGCAGCACATGCTTATGAAATCATTGGGAGCATTTCTACATTTATTTACAGCTTCGTTCTTTCAGGCTGGCATCCTTACAGCAACATTTTAAATTGGAGGAAAAAATAGCAGAGCTTTTATCCCTAGATAAAACCTCTTCCTCAATCACCTTATTTCAAGTAACTCTCCTAATAAAACTGAAGTGAGTCTACATCCCTCGTGTGCTGTAAAGCGTTGCTTAGGGCTTGAACAAGGCTGTCGCTGTGCAATTAGTCTCTAACATGTTAAAAAGGAAATCCTGATGTACTTTTTTCCTTCTGCATCGATGGATTAACCAAAAAGGTTTCTCTTAGCAAAGCTTACAACTGTGTGTACCTTTTGTGTGACACTTGAGGGCAAAATTACTCTCTGCTTCTGGTGAGTGCTTCATGATGTTCTCATCCCAATAGTGTCCGGGCTGAGCATTCAGAGTAGCACTCAGAGACTCCTCAGTCGATATGATCGATTGTGCACCTCACAAGTAAGCTCCCCTGCTCACGGGCAGCAGAGGTCAAGCTGATGTGTCTGCTGTGTGCAGGGGCACTGAGGGGGGATGTTAACTGCGTGGGAATTGGACTTTGACAGAGACAGCAGCCCAACCTACAGATCCCAGGCAGAGTTAAATGTTTCATGGGACAGCTGAAAATGGGATTTTGGGGCTCTCCCCTCGATGTGTAACCGGTATTTTGTTGTCCAGTCCCGTGGCTGTGAGAATGTTACAGCAGGCACAGAGCAGAGCGCTCTGCATAGAATCATAGAATCATAGAATATCCTGAGTTGGAAGGGACCCTTAAGGATCATCAAGTCCAACTCTTGACACCGCACAGGTCTACCCAAAAGTTCAGACCATGTGACTAAGTGCACAGTCCAATCTCTTCTTAAATTCAGTCAGGTTCGGTGCAGTGACCACTTCCCTGGGGAGCCTGTTCCAGTGTGCAACCACCCTCTCTGTGAAGAACCCCCTCCTGATGTTAAGCCTAAACTTCCCCTGCCTCATGGTTGACCCTGCTGTGCCTACACATACACTTAAGGCATCACGCAGAACAAACACTAATACCGTAGTTGTGCTTCAGTAATGGGTCATCTGCTGGCATTTCAGGCTGCTTCTGCCACCTCTGCTGTCCCCGTTCTGGTCTGCAGAGTGGAAGCCATGCATCTGCACCAGCCATTTGGGTAGTTAATTCTTTTTCCTGTTGGCACGTTGCTGTGAAACCCACCAGGCCCAACATTTAATCGTTAACTTTATCTGCAAGTCAAAAATCTTATATTTCTGCATAGACTCTTTTAGATTAGTGATGCATCTGCCTCTTACATTCTTTTTGTGTAACATCCTTTACCTCGTGCTTTATTCTGGGTTTTGGTAGCTTATTTCAGCAAATACAATTTCTGTAACATGGCAATGTCCTGTTACTACTTCTGTATTTTGTTCAGGTGCTGCTTTCTGGGACATTCTCCACTGCGGGTGGCTTTTGAAACTTTGAATTCAGTTAATGTCAACTTGTAGTTTCCAGTTAAAATAGTTTTAGGTCTTCCATTTCTGAAGTGATAGCAGGGTTTAGACCGACTAGTGTTAAACATGGACTTGCTAAGTGACTACTACACAGGTCAGATGCATTCAGCTTGAGATGTCTTTCAGCAGCCTTTGTTGTATGGTCTCTAAGCTTTAAAGGAGCTGTACGAACTCCAGGGGAATCTTACCATCCATCGAAGTCATACTTCAGCTTTAGGTTTGGTAGCTTCAACTCTGCAGCCAAAGCAGCTGAACACAATGAACTCTCTTCTGTAAAGAGTGAGCTTACCAATTAGGAACACTTTGAAATTAAAAGAATGGTAATAATCGTCCTTCCTGACACATTCTTATTTTTCTCCTTCTGCCTGAAGCTTTTATGTGAAGTTGTTGAGGGTGTGCTCTGTCCAAATTCGCATGTCATTAATGAAGATATCAGACAGTGTCAGCCCTTGGAGTATAACACTGGTGCCTTGCCTCCAGCTGAGCATTGTGCCACTGCTGCCAGGGCTATCACAGCCTCTCAGCCCATTTGCAGTCCACTTCACTATACCCTTATCTAACCTATCCTTGGTCAGCTTATCTGTGATGATGTTATGGGATCTTCCCTTTGGTCTGTCTTGAAGACAAGTGGCATTTGTTGTCTTCCTCTCTTCAGGAACCCGTGTCAGTCACTGAGACCATTCACAGATAATTAATCACAGTGATGTTAGCCAGGTCCCTCAGCACACGTGGTCACAGCCCATCAGGCCCATGGATTTATGCATGTCCACTTTAAGTGCTCTCTCTGAGCTGGTCCTTCTACACCAAGGCACACTTTCCTCTATTACGTGAGTTAGAGTTGAAATGAAAGTGAACTCAGTAAATGCTGTAATGTCACACCGTGTGCCGACAGAGCAACGCGCTCTCCCTAAAGTGTTCCAGAGAGACCTCAGCCCTCATTCACAGCTTCTTGGGGCACATAATTAGCAGCTTACGAGGCTTTCAGAATAAAGGAACGAAAGGTGTGGCACGTTCTTTCCAACGCGCAAAGGTGCGAATTCCTACTCTGTCCAAAAGCCTCTGTGCGCAACATCACAGAGCTGTTCTACACAATCCTGTGCTTCAAAAAGATGGCAAAAAGTAGGAGCATGGTTTCTCATTGCACCAAAGTCAGCCTCTGAAGGACAGTGCTGCTCAGTAGATGGGAGGCTGAAAGATGTAGATGGAAGACAAATTGTCTGCCTGTCTACATTCATTACCAATTTTGAGGTAAAGCTACTGGGATTGCTGTGATGATGAATGATTGTGCTATAGGTGTAAGTGCTTAGCTCATGATTTTTGCACACAAATATAGGCAGTGCATTAAATATATTGTTGTGTTTTGTTTTTTTTTTTTTAAGTAACATCAAATTAGATGTAATTACCTTGCTTCTATTGAAAGCTACTGCCAGGCTTCCAATGCATTGCTTTTTTTTAAAAAAAAAATATCTCATTACAATGTTTCCTGGCATTCATTGACACTTCTAAATTACTAGGAAGAATGTGATTAATCATTCACTTCCTTATGCTTCCTACCAGACATACAGAGATCATTGCAGGCAAGTTGAAATAAGCCATTTCCAATTTTCAAAACATGCTGCAACTAGTGGAAATGTAGGGGCAAGCACCCGCTTAAACAGTCTATCAACAGATTGCAGTACAAAAGGTAACTCGGTATCGGAGTGCGGCAGAGGATCTGATGACTAACAGTTGGTGAGTTATCTTTGAGGAAGGATTTCTCTGTCACCGGAGTCAATAAAAACCCCGGGTAGGAGTTAATGGAATTCATTTTTCAGTCCAGCAAAAATGCATCTCAAAGCAACTCGAGAAACCAGAGTTCAAGTGTCAGAAGCCCCGAACTCTGAGCCAAACCTTGAGAGCTGACAGTCCCGTGTTTGCACTGGGATTTATTTGAGTTTGCTGGATTAAATCAGAATTCATATCACGTAAAAGTTCTGTTCAGGCCAAAAAGAAACCGTAAACCAAAGAGACAAGTTCAAACTACAAAGATCAGAGTGTTCATCTTTATCCTACAAATATGGAGCATTTGGTAACTGAACTTCTGTTGGATTTTCAGAAATAGTTACCATCCAACGCGTCTGCGTTATATCTATTTCCTCAGTTTTTGGAAATGAGAGCTTGCCCCTGAACTGCTGCCTGTAGGGACAGAAAATGTCTTCTCAAACGCTTTGTCAACAAAAGCCTAAATTGGCTCCTATCTCCGTCCATCCGTGCTACTTCACAAACTTGCATCACCCCTGGAACGAAAGCACCCCCAGCAGTCAGCAAGCAGCAGGCAGATGTGTTTATCGTGCTGCCCCACGAGGAGGGGAGGGAGCGTGCTGGCCAAGAAACTCAGGCAAGTGCGTAGCCTGATTTCTTCTGAAAGAAAGAAACGCTCCTTTTACGTCCTCGTAGGAAATAATGTTTTTCTGTTCTCCTTCTGCAGTCTCCTTCTCCAGAAACCAGTCCTAAAGAGTAGAGTGCAGCATCGTGACTGGACCTCCACGATTTACAGCTGTGGCTGTATGATTATTCTTGAGGTATTGTGTAGATGAACAACAGTAATAAAAACCCACTCCTTTTTTTTTTTTTTAATTAAAAAAAAAAAGCCTTGAGTCTTTGTCAGTTAAACATTATTATTATGAGTAGTCCTGTCACTGGGTTTAACATGGCAATCAGCTACCGTGCTTCCCCCTAGATCCTGTGCTGTAAGGAATCCATGCTGCAATGCACATGCATCTGCCTCAGCAAAGGCTTCCAGCTGAACATAAGTGACAGGGTTCCTTTTAAGTTGGATGTGAGCTTTTTTCCCCTCTCCCTTCCCTCTCTGCCTCTGAAGCTCTGGCAGCCTGGCTGCTGGTTTGGCACATCGGTAATAAAGTCTCTTTACCATTTGTGTTTAAACAACGTCTTCTGAGCTGCTGCTACATAAACGAAGGGGTATATTCACTGAATGCTTCCTGAAGACCTGCTTTCTCACAGTTAAACGGGGGTTGGCATTAATACTTGCAGACTAACAATAGCTTGCTTTTTTGGGTGTGTGTGACTAGTTCCTTCTCATTAGTGCTTGATTATCCAATCTCATTAGGTCTCGGAGGTAAAACCTGCCATTCTGATGGCAGTGAAACCAACCAGAGGAAGGAGAGTGTCTGTCCTCACCTGGTAACTGACTGGCTGGGGAAGTATTTCAGCCTGCTTCAGGCTATGGGACTTCGACTCAGCTTGTCGGAGGCATTTGGCCCAAGCCAGTCACACCTGCGCTGTGAAGGCTGCGGAGCCTTGGCAGGGCAGTAACAGGGCACGTAGGCTCCTTGTTTAGTCCTGTTGCAGCCCAACTACGGTATTTTTCTTAGCCTGCACCCTTTAGAGTTAAATCTTCTTCCTTTATATACCTGATCATAAAGGAAGGTAAGTGCTTTAAGTGCTGCAAGAGTCCTAGAAATAGATCCAAGTGAATTTCCATATGGGGGAATTCCAAGGAATTGGGTCCCATGGGCTTTTTTTAAATATTATTATTAAAAATATATATAGTTTAATTGCAGTGTTGGCCACGATTCCTGTCCATGGAGGGCTGGCTGTTGCTGGAGGGCTGCCTATCGGACAGAGCAAACTTGGGATCTGTTTGTAGTGGCAAAGGTAAAATAAACCGAGGCAAATTCCACGTTTGGCTCAGTTGCGATGCCTTACTTGGGGATAATTACAGAAGGAAGACAGGAACGAAAGCTTCTCTCCAAAAACCCAATTCAAAGGAAAGCAGGGTGCAATTGGGTATCTTTTCTTCTGTCCCGTGCCTCGGCTGCTGAAAGCACCACACCCTCACTCACCCGGCGCGGTGTGGGGAAGGTCCTATCACAAAAATCAGCTGCGAGCAGCCTGCTGTGGGATGCCGTGCGGCGTTAGGTATGGTTTGGGGTGATAAACGCTACGGAGATATCCCAGCGTGGCTTCTTCTCAGATCTCCCTGATAGCAGTGCATTCCCTTGCATGTTCTGCTTGTGACCTATTTTTGATGAGTTTCACATCTGCTTTAGCAGCTCTGACAAGCAGAAAACAGAGCTGTTTACTGAGCTCACAGCTGCTGCTAATACTGATGCAACTAGCCAGAAATGAGTGCTTTCTTGGTTAGCTCATCCTGTTGAATGAACCTCTCCGCAGGGTTTGTTGCAAGTTTGTTTCAACTGGAATGCTGTCAAAAGTCCCCACATCTGTGAAATTCTCATACTTCAGCCTTCCTAGAAACCCAGAAACATATACACCCTTGCTAGTTCCAGTAACTTTCTTGTAT